TGAAAATTATGGAAAACATAATAGTGCAGACAAATACCCTGCAGCACTCTTAAATCTTTTGAGTAGGTGCTATCAGGTGCCAAGAAGTCAAAGATGATTGCTATGCACTGGGTCATTCCAGTCCCGCCCCACGCTGTACAAACACAGTGATATAGTTTAGCAACACTACTTCTGTTAATGCAGTTGTAAAATAAATTGCAAATTGCAATGCATTTTGAAGCCATGCAGATTCAGACAATCCTAATGCACATAAAGAATCCAGATTAGGGTTACATTTGCTACCGTGGCATTCTCGTGACAACTTCTGGTACGTAAGTCATGTTTCCTTAATCAGAAAGAAATCTACCACGACTTAGCTGAGTAAATCAGCACCTACCAGATAATAAAAGCTAAATACAGCAGATGACATTGCAGAGAATGACATTCATGAGGTCTAGCATCAACACCAACAATAGCAATTATGTTTAGGGGAATTAACAAGCTATAGTAATCGAACAGAAACGTATACCAGAAACAAACAGGAAGTGACTACTGGGATTTGGCACTGTGAAATGTCACCATATGGAAGAGTTTAGAAACTTTCTGAAGGCTCAGCTCCTAAATGGCTGGTGTTATCCACTAAGAGCAATAAAAACACAGTGGGAATTTAATTAATTCACTTTTATTACTCCATAATGATTTAAGGTATCTAAAAAATAATATATAAAGACCTAAGATAAGATAATTCTAGTAATAACTCTTGCAATTTAGTTAAATAATACTATTACCTCCCCTAATTATAACATAGCCGTAATTCAGAAATTCCCCCACATCATAGTAATTCCATGATTTAACAAGCAAACAAACAACACAAAATATTTTGGGTGAAGGAAGTGAAGACAGCATTCTCCTTGATGTGTTACAGGTGAGTTTCTCTCAATAACTAAACCCTATTTTCTCACATTTCCAAATTCATACTCCCTGCTCCAGAATGTCTGTTTTATCTGAAAACAAGCACAGGTGAGATACCCAATAGCAAATTGGAGAGAAAGACACACATCCAACAGAGCTTTCCCATTAACAGCACATGGAGCCATTACAGTGGGACGCCAGGTCAGCAATGAAAGCGCTGTTTTCCATATCCACTTCCTAGCACAGAGTACTCAAGACATGAGCAGAAACTACCACCAGGCTCATATAACTATTCTGCTTCCAAGCATCCAGGCATCACTTCATCTATTTTCTCATGCTTGCCCCCAAGCTGGATAAAAAAAAAAAAACAACAACACTGTCAGTTCTAATCTGAGCCTTCCTTTCTCAACAGGTTCCAGCTATAAACGACTAAAACAAGACCATCTTTGTGAGGAATGTACTTTGCACTACAGCAATTAACTTTAAAGAAAGTAGGAGCCAGCTGATGACAGGCAGAGTTTTCATACTGCAACCCCGAAGAAATGAAATCATCTGCTTTGTTTAAGAAAGGCACAAGCACTGACTGTTTTAACCAGCGTCTTTGAAAGTGAAGAAGCTGAATTTGATGCAGATGCAAGAGCTTTGCATGATTTAATTCCCCAGTACAACACTGCTGGTACATCATCATACACACTGCTTCAAAACTGAATACAGATTTTTAAATATCTTCACCAAAGATAAATAAATAAAACACATATATCATAGAATGGCTTAGGTTGAAAAGGACCATAAAATGATCATCTAGTTTCAACCCACCTGCTACAGGCAGGGTCACCAGCCACTAGATCAGGCTGCCCAGAGCCACATCCAGCCTGGCCTTGTCTTTTCCAAAAAACAGTTTTACCAGGACACTTTTTACATACCAGATACTGAGGTCTCAGAGACAGGGAAAAACTGCCAGTAAACATCATGAAGTCAAGAATGGTTTCAACACTTCCCATTTGGGATTTCAGCCCTGAGCCGCACAGACTTCACAGGGCACTTGCCACCTGTTTGTTCTGCTGCGCTTCCTCCGGGAACACATATGTGCTCCACAATTCAACAGCTTCCAGGACAAGGATGAAAGATGCTGTCTTTAGTCTCGTAGAAGTGCTAAATAATTTCAGTCCTGGCTCCTCTACTGCCACGGCATCACCCTATAAACAAGCGTGCAGCTTGAGCGAACAGCTCCTAGACACAGGCAAGGTGTTGTCCCACTGAATACTTGTTTATTCCTCATTTTGCAGAAACTAGAGCGTGCTGATCTTCAGGTTTTCTGTACCAGGGAAATAAATAGTGGCCATATTTCAGCACAAGGCAAGCCTTCCGTATACTCTAAAAACATGAGAAGTATGTGCAATTCACAAGTAGATCAAGACTAAAAGTTACAGAGATGTTCATCCCTACCACCCATCCACTTCAAGTATCACAATGCTGTTAAAGCAGTTCCACTAAACTCAGCCAAGCCATTCACAGAGGAAGTTACTACTCAATGTGAGTAAGCAAAACTGGACTACAGATTTCTAAGCAGAGCAGTGAGCGTGTGATCAGCATACGAAAAGCAATGAACTTCAGTGTAATTACTTCTTCCAGTATAGTATTCTTTCCTTTCACTTTCCCATTCTGATTTTCCCCCGTGGTCAAGTAATCGTTTGTTCAGATGTAGGAGCAAGAGGACGAGGCTTAAAAATACACTCTGAGCACTACAGGTGTTAGAAATCATCAAAACTGTGTTTATGCCAGGGAAAAGGTTTTGCTATTATACGTATGTTTGCTAAATCTTATTATATAGACGCTAGAAAAATCCACCACTGAAGGGCTCTGTCTGCAAAGAATCGCCATATGGGAGCTTTCACAAATGATCAACTGTACCAAAACATCTAAAAATAACATCTTCCTTAAGTAAAATAAAAACAATTGCCAGCAGAGACTTTCGGGTGCAGCTGCATGCTAAGGCATCAACGCCACACTGCTGAAATGTCTCGAGTAAGTATATAAGCAACCTCCAGAGAAAAACAGCACAGTGTTAAATGGCCCATGAACATCAATGATAAATGTAAAGTGCATGTTTCAGGTTCTTTCAAAAGTCTATTCTTAGCTGTAAGACAAACCCCATCCACTTAATTAAAACCTTAGCTTACAAACACATTCACAGAGTAAGTGAAGCTTAACAAATCTAATTTGAATGAAAGGGACTGGCTGGGTGAAAGAGCAGCTCCCTGACGTTCCTTGCTTTCGTGGTTTCGTGTAACCACTGATCACCAACTACTGCAACAGCAAATATGAAACACCCTCAAACTAAATGGGAGTTGTCAGTCTAAATACAGCTACTTTTAAATAATGCATCCTGAGTTATAAAATAAAGTGCATCTGAATTATTGAACGCGGGTCTCATCCTTAACACAGATATATAACTTTTACTTCAATGAAAAGTTATTTATATTCTCAGTTGCATGTTACTGTAAATTTTAACAAGTAAAGCAACGTTTTATCATAGAATCATAGAATGGCCTGGGTTGAAAAGGACCACAATGATCATCTGGTTTCAACCCCCTGCTATGTGCAGGGTCACCAACCAGCAGACCAAGCTGCCCAGAGCCACATCCAGCCTGGCCTTGAATGCCTCCAGGGATGGGGCATCCACAGCCTCCTTGGGCAACCTGTTCCAGTGCTTTACCACCCTCTAAGTGAAAAACTTCCTCCTAATACCTAACCTGAACCTCCCCTGTCTAAGTTTAAAACCATTCCCCCTTGTAGTCAGCGTTTCCCATATAAATCTAATTCACAGAAATATAACTGGGATGCAAACTAAGATAAGCAAAAGTATCACATTCAGAATTGCCTTAAAAAAACTGCCTTTGCAGCCCTCAGTATCCCATCAACCCACAACGCTGGGTAAGAACTCACTGGGATTCCATGCCCACAAAACTGTTTCAAGAGAACAGAATCCTCACATCTTCTTTACACAAGCACCATCCACTAAGGACAGCAAAGCCTTGCACACACCTAGCCCCAGCAGAGATGACACAGCACCAGTTCTGCCTTTTTGAAGATCACCACAGAGGAGTGATGTTAAAGCTGGAAGTTTGTATGCAACTTACAGCGCAGTGAAACAGCAGTTAGGCCTGGCTGAAGGGTTATACTAGCAGGTAACATAAATCACAACTGCAAAGTTACATCTAGCAACAAAAGGCAGTGACAACAAGAAGGTTTTTGGAAAAAAGGGCTTAGCACCTTACACATAAGCAAGATAATGCCAATGCTAAGCAACGAGTGCTTCTTGCAGAGAGGCACTTTGGCTGTAGTGTGTGGAGCTGAAGGGATGAAGGGCACAAACCCACACAAACACGATAGCAGATCCTCACAAACTTGGCTAGGCAAAGGGAGTAACACACGAGTCGTGGTGCAGAACCCAAGCCCTACGTGCCATCTGCCTGAGCATGACCTCAGCCGGGCTTTGTGCATCCATGGAACTTGGACCGTGTTTTGCAAGAGATCCTTCTACTTGGCTTAAGTCTCAGTAGAAAAGCAACCTTCAACACGTGCTCGCCAAAGTTCATTTTACAGGAAAAATCGTGATGCAAGCACACCATCCATCACCAAGTTAAGCCAGCAATCCCACCGGGGCGGCTCCGCAGCCCGAGCTGGCCGAAAAAACGCGCTGCCCCGAAACTTTGACAGCCGCTTTACAGACCCACAGCCACCGGCGGGGCCGCACAACTCCTCGCGGAGCTCCTCGGGGCCGGGGCCGGAGAAGCGAGCGGGGCCGGGCGGGATGCGGCTGAGGAAGAGGAGCAGAGGGAGGTTGCTTCCCCCACACCCAGGACGCGGGCAGGGCAGGGCGGCTGCCGGCTACGGGCAGGCGGCTTCCCCTCCGGCCCCGCCGCCCCGGGGGGCTTCCTGCCAGCGGGGACAGATGTGGACGCAGCAGCTGGCCGGGAGGAGGGGAGGGGAGGAAGGAAGAGGCACGGCTGCCTCCCCCTCAGCCGGGGGGCAGCGGCATGCGACCGCGGGCCGCGCCGTCGGGTGCCGAGGCGGAGGCGGCGGGCTCCTGTCCCCTCGCCCCTTACCTTGCTGCGGATCTGGCCCGAGGTGGACACTTTCCGGATGAGTTTCTGGGGGCCCTCGTGCTCCCCTTCGCTGTCCGACGACTCGTCCGCCGCCGCCGCCGCCGGGTGCTGGGGCTGCTGCTGGGGCTGCTGCTGGATCCCGGCGCCGCTCATCCCTGCCTCGGCTCCGGCCATCTTCCCGGACTCCTGCCGAGAGAGAGCACACGAGCCCGGCTCAGCCCGGGCAGCCGCTGCCGCTCCCCTCCCCGGGGAGGAGGGAGGAGGCGGCCGCGGGAGGGTGGGGAAAGGGGCGGCGCGGGGGGGAGGGACGGAGGCGAGGAAGAGCCGGGCGCTGGTGGGGCCGACCGCTTGGCCGCCATCTTCCGCCGCCCCCTCCGACGGCCCGGCCCGCCGGCAGCCTTTCCCGGCTCGGAACGGGCACGGACGGGCAGGTCCGGCCCCCGAGCCCTTATCGCCGCGGGGAGCGTCGAGCGCGGCTGAGGATGGAGCGGGCGGGCGGCGAGAGCTGAGGGGCCGAGCGGGCGGCATCCCCGGGGACGCAGAGGGGAACGGGCCCCAGCCCGCAGCCACGCGTGGGCACTGTGCGGGGGGCTCAGCCCAGCGGCCTGGCACGGGGATGAGGCACCTGTGCAGGTGCAGAGGGGAGGTGTGCGGCTGTGCTCCGCGCGTCCGGCACTTAAAAGCAAGAAGGCAGCGTGCCTAACGGGATGCATCGACTCGAAACGGGACGTGGTTGTTCTCCCACATCCGTTTAATTTTTGTATTGCTTTGCTCGAAGTTATTGTCTTCACATAAGAGCGGTCCTCTGGTGGCTTTTCCCTTCTCGTCGCAGATCTGGCAGCTCCCGTGATCTCGAAATGTCACCACATGTTCTGAATTGTGGGGCTCTGAAATGACTGTGGCTTTGCGTGTAGTCAGTGTTCCAAATAAGCATTCAGTCTCAGCAATACCAAATAAAACACACGGCTCCCAACTGCACAGAGTGGATTAAAGATGAGAAAGCGACCAATACTTGCGGCTTCTCTGTTCCCACAATTCTATTTGTATTTCTTAAAAGGGAACTTCCATCTCTCAATGAGCTAATACAAGTGCCCCAGTACCGAAATACAGAGCAACAAATGAGAAACAAAAGCGAAACCATAACACAGAGCGCATCCTATGCTGTGAATACTGTGCTGTGAGCTGGATTTCATACACTGGAATATCCTATTTCCTTCATTGGGACTTTCATTTCCAGTAGGTGAAATGAAAGATCTGCATGAAGCCACACGGGTGTTGTATCCCACATAGGTGTCACCAAATCAGGCACTTCCATGAGGTTCTACTGCTCTTCTCTATGTAGGATCAGTTCTTTTAGGGTATGTTTTAAAGGAATTGTGAGTACCTGTGTTTCTTATTACAGTAATAACTGGGCCTAAGTCCTACCACCAGTACCACATCTGAAACTAGGTGAAGTTCTCGTGTAGCTCCTTTTCCTCACTCGTCTCGTTCTTTCCCTGAAAGAGTTCTGCTTCAAAAATGTAAGATAAAACTTGGGCAAGAGCAAGTGTGCACTGAATTCACTTAGGACACAGATAAGAGCAAGAGAGAAGCTTACAGACACTTTGTCACCCCAGCTGCCTTCCTTCCTCTTCCTCCTCCCCAGCAACTTCAGAACAACAAATTACCCCAGAACATGGCTTACAGCTAGCAGAGCTTTCTGAAGGTAAATGACAACTGAATACTGCAACTAGGTGACAAGACAGTGTGCTAATTAATGCTAATGCAGTTTGCATAGGGCTGGGACTGTGATTTGAGGAACATTGGGTGCTAACAGAACACAACGCTCGCTGATTCCATTTAATTCAACTGAATTAAGCAGCGCTTAGATGAACAACACTATTACTGTTAAATTTGTTCCCATGCTAAAAAAGCATTCAAAATATCGGTACATGTGACAGCTGTGTCTCTACCACATGACTGGGATCCTGTGCAAAGCTGAGTGCAAAACTGTTTACAAGCAGGCGTTTCACCCACCTTCCAGAATTAAGGTGAAAAGGAGAAACATTATCCGCAGTTCTGGATGAACGCCTTTGAATTTAGGGAGGTCACAAAGTTGGCTCAATTGGTGACCTGAGGTTTGCACGTTGGGAGATTTTTTTTTCTAAAGCATAAAATGTAACTTGTCTGCTGAAGATCTCCTTAGGTATCTGCATAGACAGCTCAGGTTTCCTTCACTGTGCTTCATTTCAAATGCTGTTCAATGAGTGGCTGTAGGTGAAATGGGCAATGCGAATGGATGATAAACATGGCTCTCCAGCTTCTGTTCACATTCAGTGCTTAACTATGAGCCCTAGCTCCTGCACAGTGCATCATGCAAAGCGTGTCATCCATCCCCACATGGACGTCCCCATTGCCATCCTCCTCTTCACTGGCTGCCCAAACCCAAAAAACACTGAATCATGGAATGGGTTAAGGTTAGAAGGAACCTTAAAGGCCATCCAGTTCCAGTGACAAGGGAGAGGGCACCGGGTGCTTGTCACTTTGGCTCAGATCTCTTCCACTTGGTCTTGATGAACTTCAGAACTGAAACACTGGAAATGTTTTCTCACTTAAGGCGGAGAGTTCAGTGGGAGCAACAGTACTCAGCAAATAACAAATGCCCCCCAAGTACAGTCTGAGGTGAATACGGGATCTACAAAGCACGCATTTGTAAAATCATAAGTGCTAAAATCCGCCACCATCTAAAGTTTTCAGTGTTCCTCAAAACAGAGAAAACCAAACGAGTTTGGTGTTAACACCAGCCAAACGCTGTGCTGTATAAAGTATAAAAGAGTTATTCATTTGCAGTCATGCGTAAAGTTGTTATACATATTTTCCATGCACAAGGAAAGTTTTCAAGTTCTCAGTGCTCCTCACTTGTTCTGTTTGTCAAAGGAGTTAAAACATGCTTATGATCCAGCTCTGGTCTTTACCCAGGTAATGCTGCCTGAGGTGTCCCTGGGACTTCCTTTGGATGAGGACTGCCAGCTGACTCTATCTTTACATCTTACCCAACTGGCTGAAGCCAGACTTAATATGAGAAGCACCTTACAGCAGATTTCATCTTGAGGAACACAGGTATGGATGCCGTGGTATGAGTGGCACCACTGAAATCCTCCAGACTAATCCTCCAGTCAGGCTCCTGAAGAGCACATGTGATACGTGTGTGAATTATGTCTTTCACATACTCAATTTCACATTTCTTAATAATTCCCTTAAATTGCTATACTAAAGGAAGCTGGTGGAAAGAGTAAAGAAAGGTTGGCACTGAAAGAGAGATTCTCAACTGACACAAAACAGCCCCACTGACATCATTTGTGTCACGGCAATTAACATCAGCTGATGGTCTGCCCTTTATATTCAAAGAATTCCAAAGTGCTGGGTAAATATGTGCACTGTAAGAATCTTTCCACCAAACAGCTTCCAGTGCTGATAACAGAGTACACATCACTAAAAAGCATATGCGAGGTACCAAAAACCCAAATACACACTCCAGCTGCTCTGCAGATTATGGCTTATAATGCAGATTAACGCATCATTTGATTCCAGGAACAGAAATGCTTCCAGCTCTAATATTGATTCCCACCATAATAGGTGTATTTATCTCTTTTTCTCTAGGTCACTTTGTCATCTGTCAGCTGGAGGATAAAAAGTTTTTCTCCCCCACCTCAAAAGGTGAAGGTAAGGCTGGGGTCCCATATGAGATGTGGAAGAAAGGTATAGGACTCTGTAGCCTAGATTGCGTGTGTCTGGAGTGCAGTGCCCCTGAATGTCCCTTTGAAAGGCAGAGGATGAGCCTGATGCTGATATTTCTGTTTGGCTCTTACTGAAGTGGGAAGATGTTCTCTGTTCAACAGTGAGCTGGGAATTAAGGTCAGGATTTTATAGATATCCTAAATTTCACATGGTCAAGCTCAGCCCTGACAGCACTCCTCACCAACACCTGACAACTCACAGAGGTAATCACTGTGCACAGATTCCAAACCTGCAGTGGTTTCTCTCACCCTGTTGCTCCTTTTCTATGTTTAGGGAGAGAAGGACAGTTCTGGGCACATTTTTCCTACCCCACGCAGTTCCTCATCTAAATCTCCCTTTGTTCTTATTTCAAGACAAAGCCCATGTCGAAGAAGGTGATTGATATGATCTCCATGAAGAAGAACGATGTAGTTTTGCCTCAAAGATGCAGTGTTTTACCAGCAGGTTACCAGGTAGAGGACTGGGTGCTTGGACTGAAATTGGAGACTTGTAGAAGGAAACGAATGCAGTGGTTAGCCTTAAAACTGCATTCATGTGTGTACCCTGAACAAATGCAGACACAGAATGATAAACATGACCCAAATCCTCTCCTTTATGGAGAGGGAGATTGAGGGGGGGGGGAGGGGGGGGCGAAGAAAGGAAGTTCTCTGTGTTTATCTGCACCCAGAAGGGAGCAGGCTGGGCTGCTCCAGCCATACGGAGGGGCTGCTTTCTGTCTGCCTCCCGACTTTCAGCTGAGTTTGGCAGCCAATGTAAATGTCACTGTTCAGTAGGACAACACGTTCAGGGGAACGGGATTCGCTGTTTTCCTCCCACGGCATTTTCATCTCTCCAGGCAAAATCTAGAGTCTGCCTTTGTGAGCTGTCTGTGAATGTCAGCTCCATGTTGCTGGAACGTCTCGCATCCAGCTGTGCTCCCTATCACAGCTGCATCTGCGGCCACGTCTTCAGCTGAGGACCACGGAGGGCAGCAAAGGGTTCAACTTCACTAGAAAACGAGGCCAGTCAAAAATGTATTTGGGAAGGCACAGGGTTGCAAATCCTGGTAGGGTGGCAGCGGGTCAACAGCAGGTATCTCCAGGGAGATTCCTGGGAGTGTGCAGACTGGGACAGGCAAAGTGTGGCTCTCCCAATCCGGTGTTAAAAAATGCCTTCAGAAATAGAACCAGGGGCTGGACCCGTGCAGGCTGGCAAAAAAAAAAGAAAAAAGAAAAGAAAAAAAAAGGCACAGCCACCTGAAGGGACGCGTGGCCGTGTTACGGGTGCATGCTTCAATCGTCCCACAGAGTTCATGGCCAGGGACAGCCCAGCCCTGACCTCTCGGGCAGCCCGAGACCTCAAGAGCGGCGACCCAGGGGCTATTAATAGCCCTCCCCGTCCGCCGTGCGTGTGCGTGTGTTTGCACAATGGAGAAAAGCCCTACGGCGGGATGCCGACAGGGGAAATCTGATGTTATCGCCGGCGGAGGATGCCGGTGACACGATTTCCTTCGCTGGGAGGAGAGTCTCCCAGCGGCTTCAGCATACCGAAGCGGCAGCCCTTCTAGGGGAACCCCCTCTGGAGGTACCCGAACCCCGGCTCGGCTCCGCCACGGGGAGAGCTTGGAGGCGATTCCCAGCGCGGCTGCGGAAATTAAATAGGAACAAATAACAATAGGAAAAGTCTATCTCCCTGGAAGAGTATCTCTCTCGTTCTCCGGACGCTACGCCGGCGTTCCGTACCCCCATCCCGTTCCGCTCCTCTCGGCAAAGTTGGCGGCGGGGCTCCGAGTGCCGCTCAGGTCAGGACGCCCAACTCCGGCCCCGGGGACGCGCAGCGGGATGACAGCCCGAACCGCACAGCAGGGAGCAGGAAGGAAAGGAGGAAATGCCCGCGCGCGGCGAGGCACGCATGTACCTACCAGCTCCTCCCAGGCGGGGCTGCGGCCGCTGTAAGACGGCTCCCCGTGCTCCTCCATCTCCCGACCTTCGGCCCACGGAGCCGAGCGCGTTCCACCGCCTCCTCCTTCTTTCCCTCCCTCCCTTCGCCGCTCGGGAGCGTAGCGCTTCCCCACGCCGCTCTTCCTTCCCTCCACCCCCTGCCGCTCCTCCCTTTTCTCCCCCTGCCCTCTCCGGGCCCCCTCCTCCCTCCCCGCCCGGCTTCGCTCCCTCCCCCGTCTCCCGGGGGTCTAACCGAGCTGCCCCCACACGCACACCCCGGCACCGCGCCCCTTTCCCTGGGCCGTGCCGGGGATTACGCGCAAATCGCCTCGGCCTTAAGCCTGTTTGCAGCCGCTCGGGCTGTCGGGGAGCTCCCGGGGAGTGCGGACGGCCCTTCACGCCGCCTCCCAGCTGCCGCGGACCACACCGGCCCGCGACCCCCGGCTCTCATCGAACGAGCTTCGAGCTCTCTACCCTCGCAGGAGGGGCCCGAGGAGGTGAGAGCATAAGGGGCAGCCCTACTGAGCAGCCCCTTATTGGGGGATCTGAGCGCAGCAGCTGGTCCCGAGTGTAGAGCAAGGACTGCGACGTAGTCCTTCGAGGCATGGCTCGGGACGCGATCCGTGGCTGGGACGTGGGCTGGGACATGGGCCCTGCATTAAAGGCAGAGCAGAGGTGGACACCGTGTGCATCCATTTCTCGGGGGCACCACGCCTTAAGAAGCAGCACATTTCTCTGCCCTCCAACCAAGCCTTTTATTAACACACACTGTTCACTTGGAGGCTTCTCAGTTTACGAGTTACCAGCATACCCTTGAACACCAGCCAGCGTCTCATGGCTCTTCAAGTGGATCTCGTGTCTCCTACAAACTCAACACTTTCACTGATTATTTCTTTTCCTCTTGCTGTACAACAGTAGGGTATGTGAAAGAGCAGAATTTCAGAGGAGATAGGAAAAGAAGCTCCATCACCATGTGAAGCCACACTGTTCTTTTCTCCAGCTTTTCTGTGTTACTTTCATTCCAGCCCTCCCTTTTGAGTTCGCAGCTGCCAGGTTTGATCACAGAAAGCAACCTTTGGGTTGTCTACTTGGTAAGTGCAAACATCAAGTTGGAATTCACAAGAACAGAAGAAAGGAAATTGCATTGCTAATATTTAAAGATATGTTCATTTTCTTTGTGGTTTTAGGCTTTCATACAGAGCATTGGGATACTGCAAACTGAGAGTAGGTTACAAAAAGTAGCGTGTGTACTATTACCTCTCCTGCCCTCCCACTCAATAAAAAGGTGAAGTGCCTTCTGTATTTTACTAAGCCTGCAGAGTATCTTACTAAGTTAAAATGGTCCACCACTAACACGAGCCCAAAGAAGTGCTGCAGTGGTATAGATCATCGGGGGACTGAAACTGCTGCAGCTCTTCCAGCAGTAGAAAAATGAACTATTTTTGTTGAATGTAAGTTTATGAGTGGTCTGTTGATGAATTGCTTTTGCTGTAGGGCTGTAACCTCAGAAGGGAGCAAACCAGATGACTGACAGCCGGTTACTTTTTTGATGATGGTGAGAAATTGCATGTGGTTGTCCAAGGATGTCTGGTCTCCTTCCCTTTACCCCCAGGTGAGAGACACTGCTAAGGAATGCCATCCTACAAAGGGCTGTAGACTAAGAATTGGTGTCAGAGTCCTATTAGCTCCTCTACTTACCACGTGATGCGCTGAAGGACCACGCATGACTGCTGTTTTGTACCCTTTGACATCATCCAGCCTCTTTAGCCATGGCCATGCTTTGTGGCAGAAGTGGTCTGCTATTAAGTATTTGTCATCCTTGCACCTTGCTGAACCACAAAAACCAAAAACAAGAAACAAGACTTATTTAAGCTACTTCTTCAGATCCAGCCCTATACATATTCTACTACCTTGAACTTCAAACAGGTTCTTGGTGTCCCTTTTGCACCATTTTTTTGTTTCATATGCCCTAAATCTTACAGCTGTGACTAGATAGATACACAATTTTGTTCACCTCATTTCATCCCCTGGAGTTCAAAACTTGGTTTCCATTAGTGGAAAGCTAGTATAGGCCCCCGAAGACTACAACAACCTACTTAAGCTTAAGGTATGTTTCAAGGTCGTGTTGGATAAGGAGGAAAGAAATCAGCTCCTACTAGCTAATGAAAACTGCAATGTCATTTCAGATCAGGCCTGCAGTTTGGGCTCCAAAATGCCAAATTTGTTTTTTCACTTCTTTCTGTTCAGGGGATGGATTCAAACCTGCTGACAAGCCTGCCCGTCGTGATTTCCCCTCATGTGAGCTTTTCTCACCCTATCTGAGAGCCCCATTTTACAGAGACCAAGGTCTGTGAACTGTTTGACAGAACTAATGGAAAATCACAGGCCAAGTACTCCTCCAAAAAATGTAATTCTGTCAAAGCAGACATGGAATTTGAGGACAAGTGTCAAAACCACAGGATTTTTTAATTCTATTTTGATTTTTTTTATTTATTTATTTATTTATTTTTAGGGGCATGCTGCTGTGTTTTCAGAGGGGCAAGAGAACTGAAGACAAGAGAACTTAGGTTGAGGAGGTGCTGCCCACTAAAATAAACCGTGGCACCTGTCCCCTGGAGGAAGGGGGGTGGTGGTTTGGGAGGAAACCTTCCCAGAGGTCTACGGTTGAACCAGATGGTATTAATGGCCTTTTCCTACCTTAACGATTCTATGAGTCCATAATTCAGAGAGCGATCTTCACAGCTGGCCTGGGAGCAGGAAGTGAGCATATAGCTGATCTGCCAAACTGCATCAAAACATCTCCAACGCAGCCTGGGGGTTTGTTTCATTTCATCCTGTTTTTTTGACTTCGTTCCAAGTTGTGTTTCTGTGTGTTGTTTTTATTTTCTTTTCCTTCAAGTTTTTTTGCACTTAGTCTAGACGTTTGGGTTTGAATTTCTCAGTAGTCCGCTGTATGTGCTGTGTTCAAAGATGTCTCATATCCTTCTGTCTCTTCTGTTCCCTGCCCTTAATGACTCAGTGAGAACTGGATCAACAAAGCGAACGCTTCATTACTGACTTTTTTCTTTTTACATGAAACGCATTGAAAATAGTAACACATGCCTGCTTTCTCTAAGCAAAATATTTTGGCTGTGTTGGACACGCTGAAACATACAGATTTTGAAATCAGTGCAAATGTTGTGTTTAGACATTCACAAGAAAACCCCCATCTCTTGAAGTATTTCCATTCTTCACGGGGAAAAGAAAAAAAAAAATTCAATTGAAGAACTTGTCATTTTCTCTCCCTAAATTGAGGCAGAAAGACCTTAAAACAATGATTTTTTTCATGGTTTTTTTTCCTGCATGTTTTTGCCAGCATCGCCTTTAGCGTGTACCACATAAAGAATATATGCTAATGTTCATCAACTGATGCTAGCATCAAATTTCCTTCTTTTCTTGGCACATAATACACACGCCTACTTTGAGTAAATTCTTCAAGGAAATGTTGCTCATTCTCCTCATAGGAGATATGCCAGTTGGATTCTTTTCTGTTAAGCAATTTTGGATAACATCCAAAGGTAAGGTTTGATCAACGTGGTAACTGGGTAGTTCCTGCCAGACAGATAGGTGCTAATAACAGCCCACAGGAAATAGATTACAAGCAGAGAAAAAAGCACTTAGTTTTCAACCCTTCAGATAGAGCCAAAGTGACACAGTGGGTTAAGAAACACATTTAAAACTAAAGGTATATTTTATTATTGGCAAAATCCTGATACCTGTCTTGAAGCCCACTGCTTTCTCTTTGCGAGGGCGTTCAGACAAAGTGTTGTAGAAGTTCTGGATTTCTCCCACTTCGCAGTGTCTGTTGCTTGGGAATATTTCATGCTAGGAACCTGAAAAAATGCTTTCGCCCACACTTCCTTCACAGACTTTTTCCACCTTGTGCTTTTTCTTGTTATTATTATTCCTCTTGTTACTGTAATTGCTGCTTCTGTGTGTATCTGTACAAGACAGGACTCTTTTAAACAGTTCCCCAGTGTTTTCAGTGTCACAAGGTGGAAGTTATTAATGCAGCTGGCAGGAATGTGTCTATTGCCTTAGGGAAGGGCTGCAGGAAGAAATCTCAGGCAGAAGAAAGCCCTGCCCTCGGAAAAGCATTTTAGTGAAGGACCAGCAGAGGTATGGAGGGACAATCCACCTGCCACTTCATTGCCTTCTTCTCATTTTATTTCCCCTTCTCAGTATTTTTTCGCAGATGCTAGCATCTCCTACTTGCTTTGTGGTTCTATTGACTTTATTCAGAGATATCTAGCAGGAGGTTGATGTGTTTCTCATTCAGTATTATCAGGTGCATTAGGAAAAGTGTTAACACCAGGTTGCATGTTTACGGCCTCAAGTTGTGCCAGGAGAGATTCAGATTAGACGTTAGGAAAAATTTCTTCTTCAAAGGTGTGGTTAGATGGTGGAATGGGCTGCCCAATGGTGGAGTCACCCTCCCTGGAGGTGTTCAAAAAACATTTAGATGTCGTTCTGAGGGACATGATTTAGTGGGGAAATACTGGTGGTAGGTGGATGGTTGGATTGATGATTTTGGAGGTTTTTTCCAACCTTGATGATTCGATGATTCTGTCATTGAGGAGAGACAATCTTTCCCTTCTAGTCAACACTGGCGAGGATGCACTTGGTGTTCTGGGCCCCTCAGACAGGAAATGCATGGACGTACTGAAGAGTGTTCAAGAGAAGGACACCAAAATGGCAAGTGCCAGGAGTACTCCTGCTATGAGGAAGGGCTGAGAGAGCCAGGGCTGCTCGGCTGGAGAAGAGGGGATGTCATCAATGCCCATAAATGTCTGAAGGAAAGGTGCCAAGAGGCTACAGCCAGGCTCTGTCAGTGGTGCCCGGTGCCAGAACCAGAGGACATGGGCACAAACTGGAGCACAGGAGGTTCCCTCTGAACACCAGGAGCCCTCCTGTGTTGTGCATTGGCAGAGCACTGGCACAGGCTGCACAGAGGCTGTGGGGTCTCTGCCTTGGGGATCTCCCAGAGCTGCCTGGACATGGCCCTGGGCACCCTGCTCTGGGTGTCCCTACAAGGGCTGGAGCAGAGGGACCCAGAAGTCCTGCCAGCCTCAGCTGTGCTGCAGTTCTGTGATCCTGTAATTCCACACCTTTGACTCCCTGAAAATCAGCAGATAAAAAACACATTGAAGCGTGGACAGCTGCAAGTGGTGATTTATTCAACTGCCACTGACATTCACTAATTACTCTACTGGTGCCACTGTTTTTGGACATGGATAACTTAACTGAAGTGAGTAGAATCACTTGTGTTCATATTAATACATTGTTGATTCAAGGTTTTCCACAAATGATTTCATAAAAATACCACTGGAAAGGTATGAGAATGTCCATATGAAAATGAGAAGTCGTTCTCTCCATCCTTGTAGCCAAGGCAGCTCCAACTGCATCTGTACCATCCTGAAGTGGCATTGCCTGTTCAAACATTCACAACTGAGACTTTCTGTCCTTCTGGAGAATGTAATCAGTGAACGACTTAAATCTGCAGGGCTGAAATTTTCATCTCATTCCTGTGAATACAGAAAAGGGCCCATTCCTTGCCTCTTTACTAATAATTCTGTGGGCCTCTTGAGGCTACTATGACACATTTCTTCCCTGGAGAAAACCACCCCCATTCTCCTCTCATCACTGAACTCCCAGTATATACTTCCAAAGCTGACACCTGTGTCTCACTTGACTTGAGAGTTTCATGGGATCATTATCCAGCTCAGTCCTCCCATTTAATCACTTAAACCTGAGTGGGCTTGCAGGTGTAATGACCACGAATTATGGCTGGTCATCCTTACTGCTGATAGGGATGTTGAACCATTCCTCCAGTTCACATGTGAGCCAGAACTAACCCTAATCAGTTGTCATTTGTTCCGTGAGTTCTTTGGAATACTTCAGGTGAAACATGGGTTCCTGGGAAAATGGCACATCAGTATCAAAAGCTTTTGTAAATTGATGTACACAGTGAGTAGCCAATCTACTGGTCTGTTCCATCATCACAGAAAGAAGTTGGGTTAGTTTGACTTTATTTGTCCTTCAAGAAGCCATGTTTGCTGTTCCTTTCCATGTTATAAGTACTCACGAACATTTTATTTTCATTTCAAGGAGTGCTGAAGCTTGTTGAATGGATCAGTTCTTCCTTTTGCTCCTATTTTTTAAGTTTCACTTCACGATACAAGAACAACAAGCTGAAAGGAGGTAACAGTGAGGTGGAAGTCGGCCTCTTCTCCCCGGTAACAGCAATAGGATGAGAGATAATGTCCTTGGGTTGCACCAGGGGAAGTTCAGGTTGGGTATTAGGAAGAATTTCTTCTCAGAAATAGTGGTGAGGCATTGGAACAGGCTGCACAGGGATGTGGTGGAGTCGCTGTCTGTGGAGGTGTTCAAGAACCATGTAAATGTGGCACTGAGGGATGTGGTCAGTGGGAATGGTGCAGATTGGCTGTTGGTTGGACTAGATGATATTAGTGATCTTCTCCAGCCTTAATGGTTCTAGGGTTCTATTCTGTTCCATTCTTAGAACTGATTAAACACAAGCGGTATCTTCTCATCTCTACCAATGAACCCATCACCACAAACAAGGTTTTGTATTTGTGGTTACAGAGTTTGGGAAGCCTGGCTCAAATGTCAGCATTTCCTTCTGTCAGTTCATTCAGATTCAGCAGATGCATCTTTCTGATAAACATTTCTTCTAAAAGAAAGAGAAAACAGAAACAAATAGCAAATCATGCAAGTTGACAAAGGTGACACTTTAAAGTCGCATCTAAATTGATAGAGAATTTTATTGCTTCTGAAACATCCAGAACAAAAATAAACATTTAATTTGAAGAACCTATAAAATACAAACATTTTATAGAAGAAAACTGGGGAGGAGGAAAAGAGCTTTGCCTCCCTCGTAACACTTGAAAAGGAGAGAACAGGTGGCAAATTGATTTGTTTTGAAAATGGAAAGAATTTAGCCCACCCAACAACTTGGCTCCAAGCAGAGCCATTCCTTTTATCTTTTTATGTGTTGCACTAGAACGCAATATTTAGGAGCTTTCCAATTACAGCAAATCAATACGTAAAATTCCTATTTTGGTCAGTTCGCTTTTTGCAATCTATCATGATATATGTTCAAACAAAAATTAAAGCAGATCTCTTTTTTGTTTGTTTTCCGAAAGCAAACAAACTATAAGACTTCTCTGGCTATTGAGCAGAAGAAACATATGGAGACAGAATTATCCCACTGGAGTTTTCTTTGCTAGCAGAAGTGAGAGGAAGAAGCCACAAGGTGAGTGTATAAAAACAGCCATAGGGTCATCTAGAACAAGTAAGAGGAACTCGTAGCCAGGGTTCTGTTTTCTTTTAAGGCAAGTTAGAGCATATTGAATCAAATACTATTGTCATAGAAAAAAGTAGAAAACTCTTTCGCAGAGTTCATGGTCATAGCTTTGTATACTGAGAGGTGTATTCTTACTTCTAAGCACACTGTTTGTCCCATTTATTTCACTTCCAGCACATGCTGAAAGCATATACTCTCAGTGGGGAACCCTGCAAACTGACAGATTTGAGAAATGTTTGATGTATAGAGAAAGCATGGAAGGAAGGAAGAGGGACAGCTATGTGAAACAGAAAAGAATGAAGGATGTGTCTGTTTGCTTTTCTAAGATGCATTTTTTCTGACACCAGCAAATGACATTTCATAACCCCAGAAATACCAACACTAAGTAAAAACCATGTTCTGAGTGACTGAAAGAAGTACAACAAGATTGAGTTCAACTGATAATGTAATTCCTGTGGTTTCAGTTCAGTTATTTTAGGGACAAAATGGTCTGCAAAGTTTTTTTTGTTGTTGTTGTTTTTTTCTTTTAATTTAATGAGAAGTTGAAATTGCCATTGCTTAAATAGTGTCACCACAGTACTTTCAAGGGAACCCATCGGATGGCTCGTACAGCTATTTTTACTTGTTAATAAAGAGAAGATGTCACATGATTTGCCAGAAAAGCAAATATATTCTTGATGCTTTAACCTTATTTAAGTTACTTAATTTGCATTCAAAACTTAAAGAAACAGCGTCGATCTGTGGAACGAGCAGAGTGTATGTGAGAGTGCCCCATTTAAATTGGCTAGACACAGGCAAAGCTGGTTCAGATGAACAGAAAAGCAAGTAGAAGTGTCATCGCTTCTATATATTTCAGATCAATAAAGCAGAAGAGTGCAGGGGTGAATTCAGAAACACTCCAATGAAGTAGCCATTGAACATGCACAAAATAATGTTTTCATCTTTGTGTACAGAAAATTTGCAGAGTTGAACTTTTCATACTATTAGTATTTCAGTAAGGTGTGATGAATGTGAGTGGGCTTTGTAGACATACGTAGTTTATGACCTGAATTGATTGATCTACACTATTGCTGCTGAATAAAAACATACCTGGGCATGCAAACCTCTCCCTTTTCCTTGCTATTTCGAGAACAACTAGATTCTAAGAAAATGTAGCCAGAAGTCTTATCCTCAATCCCAACTTTTGCACTTCATGAGATTTGTCCTTTGAAAAGTGACACCAGCACTTCATGGTAAGATTTGTAGTGCTTCATACACTCTTGCTGAAGAAAAGCCAGTGGCACAGGTTCATTTCTGAGAAACACAGTTCCCTCTATGCTTATTATTGATGCTAACAGTCTCTTTTTGAGTACCTGGGAGAAGGTGTAACAGTGAAAGACGTGGTCAGTTTGCTAACATAGTAACCTGGCACTGACCTCCAATGGAGGTAAGGTAAGACATGTGACACTTTCCCCACAGTAGTGGAAATCCTTCATTGAAGGGTGGAATCAACTGTTAGATGAGATCTGCCTGGCCCATGCATGGTGATCATTGGATGGTGGGGAAGGTGCCTAGGTTGTCTGGAAGCATTGTCTAACTGGGATCCTGTTTTCACACGTGTATCTGTCAGTCTGTGAAATACCTCAGAGGTTAATTCTTCCCTTGACAGGATGTGTAGAACAAGGCAATTCAGGACTAGCAAATGTGTTTGACCAGATAAATAGCAATAAATTAAGTTTAGGACAAAGCTTGGAGATACTTTTTGCTTCATGTATTTCTACAGTCACACAGAGTAGGAACAGGGATATGAGTTGCAACCAACCTTTTTTTCCATATGAGTTTTAGGAAACCTAGAGAGTATTTTCATTCTGTGACTTGTGGGTAAAGCTATACCAGAAGGAAAACGTTCTAATTTAAATGGAAACACATCAACCTGATGCACCCAAAAACTAATGAGTAGTCCCTGGTCAGCCAGATTTGTTAGCGGCCAGATTCTAAGATAAGCGTGCCCTTGCAGCTCAGAAAACAAATGGTATCCTGAGCTCCATCAGAAGAGGGGTGGCCAGCAGGGACAAGGAGGTGATTGTCCTTCTCTACTCTGCTCTTGTGAGGCCATATCTGGAGTACTGTGTCCAGGTCTGGAGCCCCCAGTACAAGAAAGACAGAGAGCTATTGGAGAGGGTTCAGAGGAGAGCCACAAAGATGAGCAGGAAGCTGGAATACCTCCCCTAGAAGAAGACAGGTTGAGGGAGCTGTGCTTGTTCAGCCTGGAGAAAAGAAGGCTGTGGGGTGACCTCATTGCAGCCTTTCAGTGCCTAAAGGGAGCCTACAAAGAGGAGAGGAATCAACTCTTTGAAAACGTAGATAACAGCAGGACAAAGGGAAATGGTTTAAGGGGAAATGGTTTTATGGAGAAATGGTTTTAAGGGGAAATGCTTTTAAGCTGAAGGAAGGAAGATTTAGGTTGGATGTCAGGGGGAAGTTCTTTACAGAGAGAATGGTGAGGAGCTGGAACAGGCTTCCCAGAGAAGGCTGTGGATGCCCCGTCCATGGAGGTGTTCAAGGCCAGGTTGGATGGGGCCCTGGGCAGCCTGGTCTAGTACTAAATGTGGAGGTTGGTGGCCCTGGCTGTGTCAGGGGTGTTGGAGATTCATGATCCTTGAGGTCCCTTCCAACCCTGGCCATTCTGTGATTCTGTGATGAAAGCAGCTGAATCCCATGGAAACAAGCAGAAGAGAAATCAGAGATAACTGACAGTATTTACAGGTGTCAGAAAGACTGAGGGAATCATAAATCATGAAAAGGGCAAACCACTGAAATCATTTGGATTGTCTGCAAGAGGAATATAAGCAAATATGTAACTTAACTGCCAAATGCAAAGCTATGCTCTTGAAGTCTGCAGGAAGCATGCTTTGATTTTTAAAAGGTCTTTAGGGTCACGGTGATTAATCATCTGTCTAAGTGCTGCAACCAGAATTAAAATGGTAAATTAGATTTCCAAATAGAATTGGATTCATAGGCGGAAGAATTTCTGGAAGTAGTAAGAGAATTATGTTGCCTCTGTGTGTGGTACTGGGGTAAATGCTGTGGTATGGCCCCTAGTGCAGTTGTCCACAGTTCAAGACAGATTATTATTGTTTAGGAAAGGTGCAGGTAAGCACCTGCAAAGCACCTGAAAGACCAGAGAAGATCAAACTAAACATTGAGTTAATACTGAATTGATGACTCAAGAAGTTTGTTTTGACTTACAAGAGAAGTTAGGAGCTGTCTTCAAGCTTCTAAATCCTAAAATAGGAAAGAGAGGAATGTTCTTCACGCTACATATAAGCTGTCAGGTCTATCTTCTGTAAGTTTAGAATTAGAAAAGAACCATTGGAACAGCATGCTAAAGTTTGTGGTATTCACCAAATACTTCAGTAGTTCAACATTTTTATTCTAAAGACTGGGTGATCTTTTAAGAAAAGTTTTAATTCAGACTCTCTCTGCTTGGATTTTATCTTCTGGCTTGCTGTATTCAGGATTAAATAATCAACTACCAATACTCTGTGCATGTAAAATTATAGATAGTATATATATGCCATGTAGTTTCTACTGATCAGATAAACAATCTCTAGGGAACCTTACGAGTTTATAATTACAGAACTGTAGTACATCTGTAGATGAGAGAAAATACTGATTTGATTAGAACACATAGGGGCACACCAATACACTCACCCTGCCCAAAAAGCAATAATTTTTTTGTTAGTTGGGGAGGTCTGGGTCACTATAAATATAGCATTAAAAATCCTGCAGCTGAGGCACATCATCTTCATCTTCCATCTTGTGCTCCTGATGACATCCTAGATGGTAATGATTGAAACTGTCTATTTATTAGATGTGACAGCTTCCACAGATGGGGGTGTTTCTAATTCTAAGAGCAGAGCAGATGCTATGATGAAATGCCTTTAATCTTCTAACCACAGAGTTGTTGCTTTGGTAGACTACCAAGACAGTGGCTCTGTAATCATTTAACACAAGCTCTATGCGGTTATACACCATGTTGTGGTACAAATTTGATCAAAATCAGGCAAGAGCATATCGACTCATTTCTGCTGTTTTAGCCAGAGCACACAGTGTGGTATTTATGTTCACTTTACAGTTTTGGGCTGGCAGGAAGACTGCATGGAGTTAGAGATGCCTAGACAAAGAATTCTTGCTCTATATTAAATCTACTAGGACAAAATCTCTTCAAAACAATGTTAAAATCTTGAATCATTTGAGAGACTCTCTACCAGTGTACATTCTTATGATTACAGAACCTTTGACATCTTGACACTATGTGGACTGAAAAACAGATTCCGTCTTGTCAAACCACAGCTTGAGAGTCAAGCTGAACTTAGAACAGAAGCAGTGACACCAAAGAATGATCTCATTGTGCCTGCTCTCCAAACACAGCTTGCGGTACTGTCAAGCTCTGTGATACCTTTGAAAAGAAAAAGCAAATGAAGTCTCCAGCCAAAATAGGAACACTTTCAGTAAAATAGCTGGAGGAAAGGGCTGTTTACTTTGAAACTCCTATTTCAAAATCAAGTTTTGTCTCTTTAGATGTAGGCCATTATTTGGAAGAGGTTAAATTCCCTCGTATTTGACCTACATTGAGTTCTGGAATTTGGGAAGGTGCTGTATGAGCTGGACATGACAATTAAGCATGGTAGTAGTAGTAGTAAATGAATGATCTGCAAGTGTAAATTGGTTCTTTGACATTAGAATGATTCATTTTGGAAACCATAAAGGTGAGTTGGCCATAAGGGAGGTTAGGTCACAGTGGTTGCATTTTTCAAATATGGAAGGAGGCATATGACAAAGAACTTTGACATTAACTTAGAAGCAAATATTCCATTTAAAAAACCAACACAATAATACAGGCATCAGTTTGGTCAGTATAGGAAGGGGCTGTGGTAGACTGAATTTTAAGGATTAATGCTTTTCACTGTCTGAAATCACAGTAGCAAAATTTACAGTGTATATAACAGGACGAACAACGACTTCAAGAAGTCTGGACCGACAGCAGGCTCAGTCTTTGCAGTAGAAATCTGGAATTGCTGACCTTTATGCTGGTAGATGAACTTGCCTTGAGAAAGCATGATCAGGATCTATTTCATTACTCTATGCTTTAGGGGATGGAACAGCCAATCTTCCCAGGCAAGACAGGGTAGACAGGGTCACCTTCTGATCTGCTGAATTTCGCATGACTTTTCTTGCGTGAATCCACAAAGGCTCAAGCCTTAAATGTAGCCAGGTCAGTACTGTGCCAACCCCTCAAAGCAGAAAAAAAGACATTATCACTGAGTAGTATTTAGAAAATCATTTTTAGACAACATGAAAGTATTTCTCAAAAATATTCTATAAGTCTGGTGGTCTTTTTCTTCTTCTAGAATGAGATCTCATTCTTGAGTAGTTTTAGAACCAAGTCTCTCATATAGGCATACATAGTATGTATAGTACATGGCATATATGCAGCCTGATTTTTTGCTTCTTTTCATAACAGATTGAGAAAATACATAGCAAAAAATACTTCGGGATGTTTTCCATGGCATAACACCCATGGTTCCCTCAAGATGTTCCTCTTTAACGTTCTTTAACCCACATGGTATTCAGTGTTTCCAATGACAAACTATTCCTTCATAAATAAACTGCATAAGTTCCTAGTATGTGCTGTGCATTGCATACAGTGGAATAGTTGCCTTCAAACAATGTTGAGGCTACAAAAGCAAGCAATCATAGAGGTAAGAAATGCCAAAATTCAGGTAATGTATGGGAACTTAGGATGACTGTGCAAATGCCCAGACTGAGCTAGTCTCATTACGTGACAGCCTATTTTTTTTCCCTCCTGATTCACTCCAATGAGTGTACCTGGTGTATATACAAGATGGGAAGCTACTCAATATTTCTTCATATCCATCATTTGTTGAAAGCATTCTTTGTGGCTGACGTATTACTCTTTACTTTTCATTTATAGCACTAAAATATAGCAGTCATTCAGCCTGAATGTTGCTTAGCTGAACAATCACATTGACTCCAATCCTCTGATCTTCTCTGCATACCTTCCCTCCCTGGCATGGCAAACCTGTGTTTAGAACTTCGAGGGACAAGTCACATTCATGCACGTGAATTAACTCATCTCAATTTTAGGGCATTTCCCTGTCGAGTTTCCAAACACCTTTCAAACAACAAGGGCCCGATATCTCTAATAATGGCAAGTGTTATGCAAGCCAAGCCCTGAGATTGCTATCAGTTCTTTTTTCAACTCCAAACTGCCGGAGAAAGGGGTAATTTGTCTGTACCTCATCAGTATCTGTTCAAGAGCCTTATACCATTGAACTACTGCATGGAGTTATTTTCTCAAGGGAAGTATGAAATCAAGCTTCCCTATGCACTTCAGTTTGAATCCCTCCTTCCATTGTCCTTGGTTTCACAAGACTGAATCCCATAGCATTGTTCCCAGGGAGTGGCAGACTTTCAGCCAACTGCAAGATCTGCATTTTCTCTATGAGCAACCACCTGTCCATACCAGGCTGCAGGTAGAATTCTTTGAGCACGGAAGACAACTCTTTCTGCTTAGTATTGCTATAGCTAGTTATGATGCAGTGATTAAGGATGTCAGGTATTTGACATGCAGTTAATCACTTTCATAAGGTGATTTCTAGATACATAAGTCGAACCCTTAATTCACAAATTCTGACCTCTTCTTAAGAGCCACACAAATTGCTTATTTTGCATTGAGTTACAACAACAGATTCAGGGATAAATAGGATGCTGACATGCAGAACTTTGCAGAACTTCCCTTCCCTCCTAGTAAAAAAAAAAACCAAAAACACAAAAAAACAACAGAAAAAGACAAAGCAGAACAAAACCACCACACCTTGCTAAGCTAATGGGAACAAACAAAGCACCATACCTCAGAGCAGCCCTCAGGCACTCTGCTTGTGCAGAAATCTTTCTGACAATCCTGTTTGGTCTCTAGGGATGACGTTTGAGCACTTACACCTTCCAGGAAGGAATGAAGGAAACAAGCCCTAGCATGTTTCTCCAAATCCAGTGGCTCAAAGAGTGGGAAGGAAGTGAATGAGAATGGCCATCTTTGCCCTGAGCCAGTGTTTTCTATGTCAGGATATCAACAGAGCCTCGGTAATCCTTGTCTCCAGGGACAAGATCGATTCCCTCCTAGATCATGGAATGAAAACGTGCACAGCCTGCCTAGTGCTGATAGCAATATTACACATTGATTTGTTGAAGGTGAGGAAACTGCAGCTGCCAGAAAAATGGGAACATCTTTAAATTAAGGCACCATATGGGCCAGGGAAAGTTCTTGCTTAGGGAATGAATTGAGGACAAACAGCAAGAGAGGTACTTCATTACTAATTTTGACAGCTAATTTTCCTCAAGGGTACATTAAAACTTCAGTCCTCCTTTCAAAGCTGGTTCACACCACAGGTGTGCATGGAGAGATTAGCTCCAGCACAGCAAAAACTGTGGTGACCCTCCCCCTCCCCCGTCCCAATCCCTATTTTGCTGTGGGAAAGAAGATTTTGGCAGCTCTTCACCTGTTGTACTTGAGCAGAGTGGCATCTCCTTTCACACCTCCCATTGCTTACATGTAGCCAGCGGTTCCCAAGAGCAAAGTTTATGTCCAAGCCGGTGAGACTTCTCAGAGGATGTGGAACTCAGTGTTACTCAGCTGTATTTATCTGTTATGGGGAAGGAAGTGGAAGTAATAAAGTGGTGGAGCAGAGCAGCAGAATGGAGATGACATTTCAAAGGAGTGAAAATGCAAATAGGAATCTAACGAAGGCTAGTTATAGGGTTGAAGAGAGGAGGAGTGCATTTTCAGTAGTCATCACGCTGTCTACTCACATTAGAATTGTAGCTATTTTCTATATGCCTGCATATAGCCTTCCTATCAGCAAAGAAATGAAAAAAGTGTGATGGTTTCTCTTGCACATGTACCTTTCAAATTCCCTCAGCCCCACCAATTACATATTCTTTTCCACCTCATATAAGCGAGGGGATACGAGAAGACAGAAATAAATGAGAATGTAAGACACACTCTTTCATACTCTTTGAATCATCAGACTCAAATGTATAATTTCTGCAGCTCCACAGAAGGCAGTGAAGCTGAAATTAGTTCTTCATGCATGGATTATGGTATTGCGTAGTGATTTTTAGGCTTCCAGAAAACTCAGTATAAATAGTTTATGTTTATCGTTAAGGGTGAGGTGTTCCATTTTGTTTACTTCTGTTAGATCAAGATATATCAACAGCTGAAGGACATATTTCAATTTCAGTACAAATGAGAGAATTATTTTGAAAAAAAGTGTGGAAAAGAGTCAAAAGGTACCAACCTTAGAAGAAAGCAGAAGTCCGGAAAATACAGTAGGGGTGAGGAAGAATCTGCAGTAAAAGAAACAAACAAAAAACAATAGAACATATAAACAAAACGAAAACACACACGCACACAAAAAAATCAGCAACCTACTAAGCAAATTAATTACATCTATTTTTATTTGTTAAAACCAAGAGGAAATAAGATATGAAAGGCAGTAGGGGCACCATAAGAGATAACTTTCTGATGGACAATGGCCAATCCAAACTTGCTAATTTGTGTTCTTTGCTCATGTTCAAGTGTTCATCTACTTGCCTTTGGTGTACTTCACGTCCATGTCTTAAATGCAAAATCAGGTGGGCTGAATTCTTAGATTCTCTTCCTAAAGGAATAGAAAGTTCAGTGAGGTAGAGGAGAATTGAAAGTCGGTAACCTTTAATTTAGAACAGACTCCAAATTCAGGTGGTTTCATTAAAACGAAAACAAAGCGAACAGATCTGAAAAATCGGATTAGTGGGATAGAAACAAAAACATTGAATCACGGTAATAACTTACTTAAATTAAACACAGGTACCTAACTGGGCTAAGCTTTTCAGCCACAATCTGTTGTATCAGTGTGCAGATCTGCAGACCGGAGAATTCTGCTGGTTCTACTTCTTCAGGAATAAATGTCACTTTGTGTCTGCTGACTGCGTCTGAAGTCAATAAATCCAGCTGCTGCCTTTCATGCATGTAGAAGGCATTTACATCCTCTCCAAGCCATTGGCTAGCTTGATATAATTAAATGGCTGCATGACACATTCAGATTCTGTTGAATCCAAGCTATCAATTTAAGTATTTATATTGCAGTCTCTCCCTGTTAAAGGAGGAAAGCATAAGCAGCAGTATTTCTGAGATGTGTCCCTTGCCATTCTAGATTGTCAAATGTGATGGTAAGATATGTGCCAAATAATAAAAGAAGATAGCAGCTAATTGCAACAAATCCAAATTATTTTAACTTGTTTTGGGAAAATCCCTTATGGATGATCTTGGTAGTATCTCTGTGGACTGAGAGGATTGTGGAGAGTAACTTCTATCCTTCCATTAAATGACTGTAACACCTTCATTAAATGGTAATATGTTAGCTTGTCAAAAGTCATCATTCTCATGCTACACAAAAAAACATTCCTGAATGTAATGCAGCACTATGTTGTTATATAGCTTACCTAGAAGGAAGACTCCATATAAACTGGTGCCATCTATTGCTTTGCGTCAGCAAGTTTTCCCTTTTTATAAAAAAAAAAACACCTTGTAAGATGGTTAACATCATCTTTGGAAGAAGTCATAGAATGATAGAACCATTAGGACTGGAAAAGACCACCAAGGCTATCTAGTCCAACCTTCAGCCCATTCCCACCGTGCCCATTGACCACATCCCTCAGTGCTACATCTACACGGTTCTTGAGCATCTCCAGAGACAGTGACTCCACAACCTCCCTGGGCAGCCTGTGCCAGTGCCTCACTGCTCTTTCTGAGAGGTAATTTTTCCTAATATCCAACCTGAACCTCCCTTGGCACAACCTGAGGCCATTCCCACTTGTCCTATCGCTGTTACCTGGGAGAAGAGGCCAACCCCCACCTCACCACAATGTCCTTTCAGGCAGTTATAGAGAACGATAAGGTCACTCCTGAACCTCCTCTTCCTCACATTGAAGGATGCTGATTCCCTCAGCCACTCTCCATAAGACTTGTGCTCATATCCCTCACAGCTTCGTTGCCCTTCTCTGGACAATCTGCAGTGCCTCAATGTCTTTCTCATAGTGAGAAGCCCAAAACTGAACACAGACCTCAAGGTGTGGCCTCACCAGTGCCAAGTACAGAAGGAAAAGTCTGAACAAACCTCTTGCATTGAACCAGTCTTAGCATACTAAAGCACTTTTATTTTTCCTCATCTACGCACTTCTTTTAACCCAAAGTATGTTTTCTCTCTGTCTTTTTTTTCTATTAAGCAAAACTTGAATTTCCTTATGATTTTAGGAGGAATGCAGTAAACTGTCTGTCAATAATGACTGTCTCATCTTCATAGAGATCAAAAGTAAGCAGAATTAGCAGTCTTTGATTGTGCTCCAACAAATGCTATGGTTTCTTTTCATTGCTGAGTGTGGACATGAATCCTTTTTCTGAGTAACTCCATTGAGGAAGTATCTGCACAACCACACTTCTAACATGCTGATCCATAACTTATGTCAGGTCGTTTGTCATAGAAGTAGGATGAAAAGTCTTTGGAAGAGGGAATGTTTTTTAGAGAAAATGAATTTTTCTCAGTCACACATAGAAAACAGCATGGATAAACAGCATGGATAAATTTGTACTACATGACTGAAGTTTCATCTCATGGTTCACATTTTCTTTTTTTTTTTTCTAGATTTGACATGATCCTCACAAGAAACTGTATTTTGAGAGAAAAAGGGAAGATATTGCAACCTACTGCTCACCCGGATATTACAAAATTATCCTTCATGTGTCACGTGGTAGAATGTGGGTGGTATAATTTAGTATTATCTTCCATTGCTATTGATCTACTGCCACACTTCTTAAAAACTCTTTCTGCCATTAGTATGGTGTCCAAACACAAAGTGAGTGCCCTTTTTAGCTTGCTATAAAACCAGATTTCTAAGTGCTAGTAGCTTATTTATAAACCATTACATATATTCTCATTTAAAATGGGATTTCCAAGTTTTAGTTTTCTACAAGTTGTAGAAAGAGACGTTTCTGTTTTACAGGGTTTCTTTTGTTACTCAAAATAATGAGATTGCAGCTCTTTGGAACAAGGATTTAAAGCAAAACCATGCACTAACACATAGCTGAATTCTGAAGTTTAAATTAGATTATCAGCACAATTATTTTACAATCCACTTGGGAAAGTAATAGGCAAAAAAAGCTTTCATGGCATTTCACCTTTACATGACTGATGTGGCAATCTGGGTTCTGATTACTTGGGCAACTGATCGACAACTTCACATTAGCCATAAAAGAAATGCTGGAAAGAGTTTACAAAAAAAGGAAAGACAAAGGAATAGTGGTAATTTGAATAGAAAAAGAAAAACATCCAGAACCATGACCAGGAAGTAGTTTTGGAACTTTATTCCTAAGTACAAGAAAAAGAAAAGCTGAGCGTTGGCCAGCCATTAATTCTTACACTGTGACAGTACAAAGTTGGCACTTAAACAAGAAATGGAACAAACTGATGCCGAGGAAATTTCAGAGCCCTTACCACTAAATCTTATAAAAAGTGCCAGATTCTAGCTGTAGGGAGTTCAAAGAACAGGTGAAAAACATGCAAATATTATTCTCTTCTCACAGTGGGGACACCTAGAGCTTTAGAAGTTCGTCATGTCTTACCTGAGGCACACCTTACTACTGTGAAAATATATAGTATACACAGTATTTATTCTAAAACTACTTGATAGTTCTGGCCTAACACCTGGATTTTTCCAATCTTGTAACAGCAATATGTTTCGAAGACACTAAATATACATCTATTTCATATTTATGTTGAATGTAATCAAAATTATGTAAACTAAGAATATAATTTTCCCTGATTTGAAATTCTGTTTTATATACAGTCTACATAATCTGGGTCCTTCCTTCCCTCCCTCCCTCCCTCCCTCCCTCCCTCCCTCATTCCTTCCTTCCTTCCTTCCTTCCTTCCTTCCTTCCTTCCTTCCTTCCTTCCTTCCTTCCTTCCTTCCTTCCTTCCTTCCTTCCTTCCTT